ACTTATACCTGCGTGCTGCGGTTTGTTTTTGAAGCCTTCCGCAAGTGCACACCTCCGGGGACATGTGAAGAACGGACCCTGAGATGCATGATCTTATACCTGCGTGCTGCGGCTCGTTTTTGCAGCCTTCTGCAAGTGCACACCTCCGGGGACAATTGAAGAACGGACCCCGAGGTGCATGTACTTAACCCGCGTGCTGTTGTTTGCAGCCTTCTGCTGGCTCGGGAGCCTGGCAGAGGTCTAAAATTGTGTGGTGAGTGGCGCAATTCGCGTAAGCTGCGCGTAAGCAGTGCGTAAGCCGGTGCGTTTTAAGCGAGGCATTTTTCTTTTTTTTTTTTTTTTCCGTTGCCAATTAAGAGCCCAGCAGGAGGAGTGGCGTGACGAGTGACAGTGCAGTGGTAATAGCAGTGGTGTCGTTTCGTGGGTGGCAAGCAGAAAGCAGTAGCAGGAGGAGGAAGAGCAGCAGAAGAGTAATACCAGTGCTTTGAAAGCAATTTCAAGCTTCATATCCAAAGTCTCAAAAGCGATTTAAGAGCCGTTCCCAAGTTTCAGAAGCATGCCTACGAGATATATCAATCATATCGGTGGCATCTTAGCGCATCAAATCCAGTCGATCTGAATACATAAAGACGCTCGATTTCACAAGCAAGCGCTCAAAAAATACCTCAGATATCAGTAGCATCGCAACAAACACCAAATCAAAACCAGCCATTCCCGCTCGATTTTGCAAACAGCCACTCAAGAACTACCTCAGACTTCAATGCGTCGTAGCAAAGAGCAAACAAAAGCATCTCCCAGGATCCCGATTAACGCGCTTTAGCAGAATCCCCCACTACATACTAGATTTAAGACGACGACCTTACAACAACAAACCCCGCAAATCATTATCTTAAAGGCCTTTCCCCTATATGCACACCGAAATGCAACGACCCCGCGACAAAACTTCTCCCGAAAGTCTAGCGCTACCACGAGCGAAACGCAACGACTTTAGCAACTAGGAATAATTATTTCTTACAATATGAGTAGTTTTGGTATATTTTCCCCCAACTACACGATAATTAGGTCGACTTCCTAAAATATTTCCCACAACTCCTCACTCGATACAAATAGAAATAATCAAGTTTCCTACCAAGTACTTATAGAGATTCAATAAGAATTAATGCGACCCTATCCAGTCCCTTTCCCCCAACTACTTATATTAAAAAACTTTCGTTCAGGTACGTTTCGTTATCAATACTTAAGCCATAAAGGCGCGGATGGCGCAAATCTTTTCCCAACGATGCTGAGCTCTCTTCTACTGCGCCATACTACACAGAAGGCATGACCTGGGGCAGAAGTGAATCTCATGTGATCGTGAGGTGCACCCAGAGAGCCCTGAACTTGTCGGGTGGCCTCACAAAAAGCCCCAATAAGCAGTCGCAGGCTGTCTGAAACCGTTTGCCATCCCTTAGATGAAAATTCCACAAACTTCTGTTTCGGGGATGCATGCTGCCTAATCAGGCACGTGGAGTCACTCTTCGAAACTAGTCCAGGACGTCCGGAAAGTCTCCAGGACCCAGTAATGGAGTTGTGATGGTATTGTTTCAGGTTCCAGAACTTGTCACTTTGATTCACTTTGTATTTGGGGCTTTGCATGACCTGTAACGCCCCAACCTCATCAGTGTGTCAATCTCGATTGGGACGACCTGCTTGCCCTTCTCGATTCCCTCCGACCTGCTGGCTTGCCTCGGGGGGCATTAAGTTTCAATCCGGTGTTCAGGACATGCACTGAGCGTGGAGCTGGACTCTTGCAACACCTTCACCTGAAGGCTTGCAGAGATTCCGCATTCTTTGGTTAGGCAAAGCAAAAAAACATCCCTGCCTCCTTCGACAGTTCCTTGATTATTTCTTCTTTCGCGCATAGCTCCTGCAGCCGGCTGGCCAACGGAAGCTCCACGCTGGTGGAGGTACTGAAGGTATGTTCCATGCAGGTGATCTTGCCGATTCAGTAGACTTGTACTTCGTCAATACATCAGCAAGGTTAGCAGAAGTGCGAATCTTGCGCAATTGAAGCATTCCAGCAGAAATCGAATTCTGCATGTAGAAGTACCGCAATTCAACATGCTTCGTGCGTTTACGCACGTCAAGTTGAATCCGTATGCTTGACAATGTTCACCCTTCGAGCGAACTCCGTTTCCAGGATAATGTTCTTCACGAACAATGCTTCGTTGATGCCTGGAGGAAGGGGGGGTGCGTTTCAGATAATACCGAAGGCGGCTGACCGTAAAGGCAGCAAATCATCACGGTCGAGGTCTGTGTGAGCCAACTATAGATCTAGTGTGTTTGCTCCGGGAGTAAATCACACAGAGCCTGTTCAAGGAACATCGCTGCTTGGCTTCACCGGGGTCCTGCAAATTTCATGCCCGCTTTCTGGCACTGTCTGGAAACTTGAGGATGTGGGGCACGCACCTACAACAACGCAAATCGGGCCTGGCACGGTAGGTGCAAGGGACAGCTGCAACTGTAGAAGATGGTCCACCTTGGTAGACATTGGGTCGCGACATGTTGTTTATTGGTAGGCACTTCTGCAGCTGCGATCTGACGTACTTGCGAGAGGAGGGCGGGCGAAACAGCAATTTAGCCAAGCACCTATATAGGTTTGGGCCGGCAGTTTGCGGTGTTTGGGGTTCGGGCTCACAGTTCAAGGTTATGTTTGGGGTTCAGGGTTTGGGTTTGACGGTTCATGGCGCAGGGTTCAGAGTGTCAAGGCTAGGGCATCCATGGCGTCGTTGACTGCCGCCATCGGAGCCATCAGCCTCAACAACATTGCACAAACGATGGGCGCAACATAGCTCACGACAGGGAACGTTCGCTGACTGGGTCAACATGGATTCGCACGGTCAAGCCAAGCCCTCGCTCTTGGCATATGTCTCTTCGGAATGCTCGGAATCCTGCCCGAACAATCCCAACATCGTCATCGTGTGCACCTTGATTTGGCGTGAGGCGTGACAGTTGCCAACGGAAACAACCCCAAAACAAGCTCACAAGTCATGCCGCAAACGCACAGCGACACTTAGGATCATAGTCCCAATTCACACCGCGTGCAAGAGCACTTTGAGCGACTGGCCGCAACAGACACAACACGCGTGCGGAAGATGAAACCCGGCTTGGTGATGCGAGAGGAAGCGGCTGCAAGAAACATGCACACACACACACACACACACAAGATTTCCAACACATGGTTGAACTGGAAAGCTTCTTAGGCTTGGTATTGATGTCCCCAATCCGTTGCTTCCGGCCTTACATAAGTCCATCAATGCCAAGCTCAGGTCTCGGCGGCTTGCGTAGTTACGAAGGCCAGCTTCCATGTACCATCGCCGCCAAAATGTCTGTGCCAAAATGAAACGCATGGGTTCTGACTTCGCAACCATGGCTGGAGTGTCAGCATCTTGGTTTGAGTGACCATTACACACGACTTCCACTTTATTCCAACACCGGTCAACTTCTTCAAGCAAGGCCAGACACGCGCGCACGAAGATGTATTGATGTGTCATGCTGCAGATGCCAATTGACCTCATCACTTCGCCCTCTGCCCCCTCACCCTCTCGACACACTACAATGATGGACACAAGGGAATCTCCATGCAAACCAAGGATGTCTGAACATGTGTTGCGACCAGCACGTTGAGGTTGGAATCAACATTCCATCTGAGGCTCCCTCGCTCTCTCTCTCTCTCTCTCTCTCTCTCTCTCTCTCTCTCTCTCCCCAGAAACGTCAGCCGGTAACAGCTGTGTGCTCGCAGCTTTTCACTTTGCTGTGCAGCAGGTGCCAACTTTGACAGCAAGGTGCGCTGCTTCTCCTGCCACGTCGTAGCCCATGCATCAGTTTAGGGATTCGGACGAAGGAATGAGGAGCCTTCGATTTCTACGTCATTATTGTGTGATCTCCGCGAGGCCAACGAGGCCGGCATCCCGTCTCTCTTTGAAGTTTTTTTTGAGGCGGCAACGCTGCTTGTGCTGTTTGCTAAGGTCGACCGAAGTCTTAAAGGTTGGTTCGAAAGAGCAACCCGGTTCAAGATGTTGTATTGGAGGATGCTACAGCTGCTAAAGCGACAATGATGCTGAAGTGAGCCCAATTGAACCAACTTGTTGTGATCCAACTCAGTGTAGCTTGAGAGAACGTCCACAGCCTCGTATAAGTACAGGGTTCAGAGAAACGCTGAGGCAACGGTTCTTCTTCAGAAGCTCACGTTTCAGGCACTATGCCGGGCTGGGTCAATCGAAACCATGGGATGTTGAACCCGAAGCTTCCAGAGTACCTCATAATCGAATCGAAATGAACTAACTGACTATGGCCGTACTGCTTCATCCGGGAGTCCCACACTAATCATACTACGTGGCTGAGCCCTACACCCACGATTCCTGAGCCTCATTGCTATTCCTCATCACTCTCCTCCGTGAAGGGCCACCGAGTCGCGCCAGCAGAGTTCTGAAGTACCTAGGGGAATTCGGCCGGGCAGGTGCCAAAAATGGAGCACTGCCTTGAAGGTCACCCTAAACCCTAAACACCAAATCTAAAATAATTGCTGTAGATGCACTGTAACTCCGATGATTGCTGTAGTTGCACTGTAACTCCGATGGTGCACAGAGAGTGCATGATTGCAGGTGCTAATATTGCTTGGTATCAACTCTAGACAAAGCAAGACCGTCTCCAACTCTGTCGACATATGCCACCTCTGATATCCATCACAGTGTGTGACCTCGCAACACATTGTCTCGTGTACATCTCGCAGCATAGCAATGCACATCAGTTGAAAGTGCATGATACCACGTTATAGTGGACTCTTGTTTCACCTTTACCACGTAATAGTGGACTCTTGCTTCACCCTGTGTCATCGTGTGGCATCTGCATCAGGCCTCTCATGTATTGCTCGGTGATTGGTTTGCACTACTACACAGACTGTACCACATTCATCACACCACTATACTTCACTATACCATACTGTGCCAAATATCGTAACAGCACAGCCTGAAGCGCCATGACACAGCACGCCTCGTGATCATGGTGTGCCGGCTTAGAGCGACCATCAGACCTTTTACCTCATGTATCATGTGATCTGGCTCCACCACATTATGCATGGCCTCTTTTTCTTCCTCCCGAATGTTCCTGCATAACGCACCCTAGTATTCTATACCTTGCAAGTGTTCCATATTGACACGAAATAGCCGCATAGACCAGGAGAACACCATGTTGCCCTACATTGAAGCATGCAACATTGCATGATTCCCGACACGCTACTGCTACTGCTGCAGATACGGCCACTACTATCACCACCACTACTGCTACAACTGATTCTACTTCTACTCCTACTACTACTACTACTACTACTACTACTACTACTACTACTACTACTACTACTACTACTACTCCTACTCCTACTCCTACTCCTACTCCTACTAGTCGTACTGCTCTTAGTACTGCTGCTATCTACTACCTGCTACCTGCTACCTACCACCACTACCATTACCACTGCCGCCACCGACTCCGCCACCGCCCCCGCTACCGCCAGCTACTCCTCCTACTCTGCCACTCTGCCACCCTGCACCATCACCACCATCACCACCACGACTAGTAACACAAAGCAAACTCAACAACCGGTAGAAATCGGGCTAATGAAACTCACCATGACGATTGCAGTCCTCAGGGACCGTGATGGTGCTGGCTATGGTCAAACAGCGATATTCCAAACCCGTGAGCTCATCAACCATGGCAGAAACAGTATATGACTCCGGGGGCATCTATCAGAAGCTCTGCATGCCCTTGTTACGGGCACGTGTGGTGCACGAGTATCAGGCTATGATACCACAGGGACCCAGGGATCGTCAAGATTCTTGCACTGAGTATTAGGACGCTTTGTTATCGTCGTCTCCACCATCACCATCATAACCATCATCATGATCACCATCATCCCCCCGGACGCCACAGCCATCGACCGCAAGAATCCAACATGATACTACACCTTTCATCACTTTCCGTAGATATTCATTCAGTCACTTTCTAAGAATGACATTACAAACAACCAAGCAACTATGCACACGCTCGCCGGTTTCCTGCAAGCCGCTGGGCTCCCAGCATAAACTCGGGTTCCATGAGGCCTCGGAAAGTGCAGTCGTGGCATGAGGCGGCAGCTGGGAGGCAAATGCCGACAGCGGAGCGCAAGAAGGGCGCAATCCCAGAGATGATTGGACGGGACGGACCAAGCAACAACCCCGGTTCTGTCATCATTGGCACAGAGGCCCGAAAGGTATTGAACCAGCAGCGTCTCCTTGTATTTCTGCAACTCTGTGGCTGGCCAATGCTGCACAAAGCACTCGACGAAGTAGGCTAGGGTCCGAGCACATCGTAGTATCGCCTGCGAGTGAAACACTATCAAGCATCCTGCTACTCTTTTCAAAGCTTGGTGCGGGCTCCAGATATTCAGAGCGTAGGAGGCACCCCGATCACCGCCCACGGCTGTCCGGACTGAGAACGTGGATCTGCATCCGTACGCTGCGACTGACGCTTCAAGTTCGGTTGGCCCAAACCTCGACGATCGCATACAACTGCAAGGGAAGTGAAGAGCTCAGGACCATCGAATACGAGACGAAGAGTAGACAAAATCATAGGCCTCGCGAGTGTCATGTTGTGTGGGCAAACATCAAACTGAGGACGAGAATCAAGGAGCCAGTAGGACAAAAAGTATCGACAGGATCCAATGCAAGAGCAACAGCGTATGAGTCCAGGGCAAGTTGTGCACAATGCGCCTTGATGCATCTGCCCCTGAGTCGTGGAAGAACTGTACCTGCAGGACGCCCAGCAGAACAACCTTTCCGAGTGTCCTTGGCAGTCTGGCAGCAGGCACGTGCTGCAAAGCTGAGCTGGCCCGGGCCCCCGTAAATTGTGGCAGGGAGACGCCGGAAATGTACTCGTGCTCCCCTCGGCAAGGAAGCTACAGATGGGGGCTGTCACATCAACTCCGCAGCACAGTCGCTGTTGTGCAGTGTAAGACTGCATTCACCCCATGACTGCTTGCCAGAGGGTTCTGTACTCCTCGTAGAGCAGGTCACGATGGGAGAAGCCACTCAACCACTCAAGCATCCATCGGCCCACTGTTTGCAGGGATTGGACAGTACTGGTGCCTTGAAAGCTCACGAAGCTTAGCTTGGCTTGAATTCCGCTTCAACTTACCCAGGCGGAACAAAATCCTGCGGGTCTTCTAGCGCTGAAAGGTCTCGGTCTGAGTGCTCGTGGTATGATTGGAGTCCTCTGCGTTGTCTGGGAGCACCAGTGATCCGGAGAACGAGGGAACTGTTTTGTCTTTCGGGACTTTTCAGCTAAACCAGCTCTGACAGCACTCCAAGTGAAACAGACGTCCCCCTGGGGCCCTGGGGACGGCACTCCCTCGCGCCAAGATGTAGCTGCCATGCCTGGTGGTGGAGCAACTGATGTGTGGCACAGTCCCAAAAAAGGTCCTTGCCTGCCTTCTCTTTGCTAGCACTCCACATAGCATTTTTCTCAGCAATTTGGCATTGGTGGTGCTAGGAGCAAAAGAAAATGACGCCGACAAGAATCGCCACCAACGCATGAATGGCCGCGGGAGCAATAATCGTGAGCTTTTTAAGACCTCGAGACGGTAGTGCTTGGCATGAAAACACTGAATCGATGCCGGTGATACAGGCTTTGCCGCTGAGAGCATGGTGATGATGATATGGGTAAATCGCACGTCTAGACCGACTGATGAAAACAATTGTGACGAGAATGCATCACAAATAAAACGTTGAGACTGTGATCAAACGTCGTGACACGTTATGACCATAGCTGTCAAAGCTCACAACAATCATGACATGAATACCAGAGATAAGTTGAGAATGCCACAGGCCAAAGTGCATGTCTGCACACTGCTGCTACTGTGCGTGGGCCTTGCTACCATCGCTCCGATGCTTGGGTTCACCCTCTTAGATTGTTCGAGGTTGGGGTGCATCAAACCCGAAGCTTTTCCTGATACTGTAGCAGTTCATGCGACTCTTCGTGCTCTGCTCTTTCTCCTGCTTATTCGGGCCCCGCACTTCATCATACCCAAAATGACCTGTCTGCAGAACCTTCAACCCCGTTATGTTGACCCTGCAGACCCCCTCAAACTCGGCAGGAGCACGCGAAGTGCCGGAAGGGCTTGAACTCCTCACCACTCATAAGTCCCAGCCTCAGCATCGGCGGGCGAGCCAGAGCTGAACTGGAAGACGTCAGCTTGGCACCGTGACACTTGGAATGTATGCATGCATGTAGTTGCTGCATATTCCCCGCGATAGCATGGATGAATACCTGACTTCATCAGATGTTGAGATTGGCGACAGCTCCAAACATCCGGTTCTCGGTAGTGTTTTGTTGATCTTCCAAGTCCAGGAAGGCGGAGACCGCACCAAGTCAAGAGCAGAAGTACCGGGGCCTGATACTACACACTAGAACGGAATCGCACATCAGCAGCACTATTGCCTTAGCCAACCGTCCTATACCAACAAAACTGTCAAGGAACAAGTGGCGGCAATCATAGCAGCGATGACACGAAAACATCGCTTGTGTGCACTAGCTGATGTAGAGTTTGGAGCAATGAGTGACCATGACGACACTGGTGATGAAGAAGAGGACTATTTAGCTGAACGTGCTGTCGATGGCGCTGATGATGTCGGTGGTCATCGTCATCATGGCTACATCGTCGCCAATGCCACCATAATCACCAAGGTCATCCCCGTCACAGTTGTCTGCTAGCTTCTTGCTGCTGTTGCTTCTGCGAGATTTGCGCTCATGCCATCGCCATTACCATGGGCTATTTGGAAACTTCACAAACACTATAGTGCAGGTGGACTTGGCACTAAAGTCGTCCAAGGGTGCTTCGCTGTGCAGGCATCGCCCCAGTCTGGAACGAAGACGACCTGTAGAAATGACACAGAGGGCTTGGACTGCGCTTGGGCCTAAAAGCTCCATTCTGTGTAAAGCCAATCTTATTCTGGCACCGTTGCCGAGAGATGGATTACATGGACAAGTGTTGCCGTTCTCTTGCGAATTGAAGCCAGTGACTGAGATGAGAAGAAGTGCCGGTTGAACCGCGCCGCTTCCAAGCACGAATACAAGGCCTATGTCTTTTGAAGTGGTCTAGTTGTTTCGTAGCAGCCTTGAAAGATCAGTGCTTTGTCATCCAGACGTGGCATCTACCCGTTGAAGCGTCGATTGCCTTGCTTTCGACTGCTTGAGGCTGCCGCAAAGCTCAGTGGTCGTTCACCGGAGCCTCGCAGAAGGGCCAAAAGCTTCTTCGCCTGGGTCACTTGCCGTTGGACGGGGTGTCGGCATTTGAGCTGCTCATGAACCACATGGTCTAGGCTAGTCACTGGCCCTCACATGCTTTGAGGTTCGCAACCAGCGCCAGGGCGACGTTCGCAAACGAAGAATTCGGTATCACAACAAGAATCCCAGAAACCATCCACACACCCCTAGTATCATCGATCTGTTAGTATCATCGTTGAAAAGTTCTGCTAGCAGGCGGTTACGGCCGAAGCGTGCCTATGCACAACCATGGAGTCTCGGAATCTCAACGCTAAGTCTGCCCTTCGCACTTCGAACTGCTTCGGGACGCGGCCATGAGGTCCATCACCTGCACGCTTCGCAGATCCGACTCTCGAGCGCACTTTCAGGAGAGTGTGCGCTGCTACGTCCATCTCGTACACTTTCTTGATGGTTCTTGCCTTTTGCCGTACTCTGCCTGTTGTAGCAAACAGCGACAACCTGATGCGGAGCTTAAGCAGCACCCAGCCTCCTCCGTGTAGGGAGGGCCAACTTCGTAAGAGCCTTCCTGGGCGGGCACAATTTCACCACGCAGCTTCTCCCCCACGGCCGCGAACTTCGGAAGTCTAGCCTACAATTGATCTTGTGCACTTGCTGGGCTTCTCGCATTCATGACACGAACCTGCTATCGCGGCTTCGCAAGCACTGCTCCTTTCTCCAGCCAATGCACAACAAAGTCTCTGGTAGCGTTGCTGCTTCGAAGAAAGAACCTTTGGCGATTTGGCGGAGCCAGGGGCTGTGGGTTCATAACCGTGTAGGTTTTGAGGGTTTGGGGCCGGGGAGGGTGGGGAACATGACATGACCAGTGTTAGTCTGCAAATCGTGACACTGCCTCACAGGTTCTCCAAGCAACAAAGCCTCTTGGTCTGCGAGAAGAAAGCTTGTAAAGAACGCTTCAGGCACCACGAATTCCCACAGCGTGTTGCAACAGTTGGACGGGAGAGCTTTTCCCGAAGCCTCCTGATGAGTGTGATTCGACCAGCTACCGGCTCAACAAGTGGACCCAACCGAAAGGCAAACCGGCGCAGATGCATCGAATTGCAAACCGAAGCCTGCAAATCCCACGCCCAAATGCGCATTCGAATACTCAGACCCTGGATGTTGCCTTGGAGGCGGTGGCAAACCCGCCTGCCCGAGCGCCCAGCCCCGCGAACCAAAGGCCGAATCAACCTCGGCCGTCCCATAAATTAAGGCCGCAGAAAGCTTAAGGTTTGAGAAGTGTGACTGAGGTATAGGCTTATTGAGAGAGAATGTAAAGGCTGTATAGGGTTTGAAGAAGTAAATTGAAGAGACATTTGGGTTGCGGGATGGAGGGGCTGGGCTTGGGTATATCTGCAGATAGCGTACGTAGCATGAGCAAGTAAATTTAGATAGAGAGGAAGGTTTTGTAACACCAAACCTCACCTCACATCTATCCGGAACTCCGCCACAGAATCTTGAACCTGCCACCTGTCCTATCTTCGCTGATCTTGCCGCACCCTGCTCGGGACACCCAAGCTGTTGGGGCTCAAACGCTCGATGCCTGTCAGTTTCGCGCAGTTTCGAGGCTTCACCAAGGCCAAGGCATCCGGGAATGCCGAGTAGAACTGTGCGAAATAGCAATTCCTGGCTCACAACAGCGATCGCGATAAAGCTAAGTGTAATGGCCAGTTGCTATTGCGTTGAGGCACATTGTTCTTGCTTTTGTAGTCCTAGGCTTGCAGCGATTCCTTCTACTACAGTGCACAAGTTCAAGCGCAAGTACTGGTGATGATGATGATGACGACAATGATGACGGCACTCTTTCATTCAGAACCACTCTCGCGACGGTTCCTTTGTCTTGCCATCTTATGTCGTACGAGGCACCAGAGGCAAACTTTAACTGAGGACACTTCAGCTAAAATCCTGCAACTCCTAATCCCGGAGGCGCCAACAACAGCTAAGCTCCCGACAGTGGCGAGGCGAAGAGCTCGCAGGACACACCCATTTCCTGCTCTGCTGTTCAGTCTGGCCATGTAGATTCACCACACTTCGAGGCGAGGCCCCAAGCCGTATGACGACACAGAGCTGGCTAAGTGATGGATCCGGAAACAACTTCATGTCCGACAACAGGACATGTGCATTTCAAGGCTGAGCAATAACAAACAAACAGAATCTCAGACTGGATCTTTTCTCCAAACTACTATCACTGTCATCAGCCATATCCAAGTTCGTCAACTTCGCAAGCTGATGTCCTTGCGAAGCCAAGCAAAAACCTCAGACAAAACACACACACACACACGCGCGCGCACATGACCTGCATCAGGCATCAAAGAGCGACTTTGTACAGTGCCATTTTCCTGAAACGGCCTTGGTATGGCTACTGCTGTCTGCAAGTCTGCTGTGACATTAAGACGCCTATTCCCTGTTAACCATCGAGCTGCAGACTGCAAATAGTGTAATGCATGTAATACGAATCGGCAGATTAGAAAAAACTGCTTGAAACACATGTATTCCGGAGCACGAAGAAGAGCGGAAGGGTAGAGGCAGAAAGCAGGTGCAGCTCTCAGAAACGCGCTGTGAGCCCTTAAACCCAATAAGGAATCAGCAACCCAAAGTCTGGAACCTTTGGCATCTGGGCACAAAGGCTCCCGGCAGACTCAGGTGCAGCAGCATGCATGTTGCCACCTCCATCCATGCTTGACGAGGACTGGTCTACCAATTCTCTTGGGTAGATTGTATAAGAGTAGCACGACTAGGTTACTGCTTAGGGAGCTACTGCTTCGTCGCCGATCACTACACTTTTCATTGTGACTTTGAAATCCGAAGCTGCAGAGTTGGCTTGGGCACATGACTCGTGGTTCTCGGATACCCCACTGCTACATCAATGCCCGGGTCTTCGAAGTGCTTAATCAAACGAAGGAAGGCAAACGGCTGATGCCATGATAGAATATGGGGAAGGCCCCATGTCGAGGGCGGCCTACAGTCTCAAGCCCATGCCAAGGGCCCATGGGCGCAGAGGCAGCTTACAGTAAATGGGGACGTTCCGCGATGCTTTCATTCTTGTCAGTGTCTGGAAACCCGGCGAATCCCATTCTACTTGCTCGTATTGGTCCGGTCCTCTGGACGTTCCCCTGGCTCAAGCAGCAAGTTGAATATCATTAAAGTGCAGAGCGACCTCTGGAAACTCAGTGTCATTACCATTAGCATCGCCCATCAGTAATATCATTGCTGCTTTGGGAATACGCATGGCCTTTTTTGCGCTTGACGATTGCTCAAGAACCGAATTTGAGCTCTGGAATGTTGTGCAGAATGAACTATCTCCCCTGCTCCTAAACCAGAAACTCACACATCCGAAAGCTCAAACAAAAAAGCATGCCCCCCCCCCCGAAACCCAACCCTCTGACTTGCACCACCTAAAGCTCAGAGTCCCTTGAAACACAATATACCATGTACTGCCATAATATACCCTACTACAATGATGTACTACAATTAAATATACTATACTACAATAATAATAGTACACTGGAATAATATATACCAGAACAATATACTATGATATTATACTACAGTAGAGTATCAAATTTTGGCCCTGTCAAGACATCTTATCAGGTCCGCAGGCCTTGGCTTCCTTGCTTGGACGGGTCGAGACCGATGAAAGTAACCTTGGGCCCCGACGGAGTTTCGTCGTCTTATCATAGCAGTTCATGTCATATAACAGCCGATATATAAGCTATCATATCATATCATATCATGTCATATACCAGCTAGTTTGTTAGTTGAAATAACAAACCAGAGGTAGCTTTGAAGCGACATCTCGAACAAAACACAATCAAGCATGTTTCTAAGTCCACCATGCTCCTAAGAGCTACAAAGACTGCACTCATGTGACAGCAGTATCTGCAACAGCAAAATCAAGCACGACGACGATAACAACAACCACCACCACAAGCGCAACCGCGACCGCAACCACAACACCCACCGCCACCACCACCGCAACACCAGTGGATACGCCCACTACCCACCACCCACGGCCCACCACCCAGCACACAAACAAACAAACCACCCACCACCCACTACGCACCACCACCACCAGCAACAGCAACAGCATGCATACTCACGAGCGTGAGAGCGATTGCGATGAACAACAGTGCTGACCTGAGAGCCGCTAAAGCCGGCTGTTGAGCAGCCAGTCAGACTGGGAAACGACCACAGCTAAAGCTGCTAGGAGTAACCATCATGATCGCGACTGAAGATGAACATCTTGCCAACAAAGGCCATCCAACACCGAGGGTAAATCAACAAGAATACGCGAATGGCAACCATCTTGGACGGGAGAGCACCGAATGAAAGCCGATGCCGACAGAACCAAGCTCAAAGGTCCTATGTAAGTCCAGGGCATAGCGGCGCAGCATACAGTACCTCGGCAAGGACAAATGCAGGATGAGTTGGCAGGAGCCTCAGAATTCGTTTGACTCCTCAACTCATCACTCCCCAATGAGAGGCATGAATGATGGTGGGCCGTGTGAGAGAACATGAAACGCAATGGTTGAGAGAGAGGTAAAGCAGTTTTCGGCCCACGGAGAGCAATCTGATACTTAGATGACTCGGCTGGCAGAACTTTGTCTGACATCAAACGTCTTGTCGCTTTGGAAGAGGCAAGTGAGCAGCCGGCCCTGCACCCACTGCCGCCTTTGGGCAGCTCAGGAGCAGCTCACGGTCCAATGCCCATCAGCTTGAGGACGCCAAAGAATGCAGCCAGCACGAGCTGGCCAGGAAGCCAAATCGGCAGGCTGATAATCATGAAGGGGATCATCATGTGAAAGAAGACCATGAAGCTGAGGAAGAAGAGCCCAGCGAAAGCGTTCTCAACTTGCAACAGTCCAGATCCCTCCGATCCCTCCGCTCCCTCATCGTCCTCGGCCTGCTCGGCTTCAGCTCCCTCAAGAAATTGCTGTGCGCCGGACAGCACTTTGCCCCAGTAGGCATGCAGCAATGCCCTGCTGCAGCCTGCTGTCATGGGTGAAGGTTGGCATGCCGGCTCTGAGCTTAGCGCTGCTTCGACATCCTTCGTCGTCTCGGCGAGCACTTCCGTCGGAATGCCTGGGAAACAACGGATCAAGAAGTCCTTGATCTGGCTGGGGTCAAACATCGCGTTCTTTTTTGAGATCTCATCGATATACTCCACGAAAGACCGGAGAGAAACCGTTTTACTGTGGCTCCTCAGAAGGCCGTTCCTGTTCCAAGCCTCATTGATGGTCAATGCCGCTTGTGACACACTTGCCTTGGCGGCCTGCATCTCATGCCTGAAGCGAGGCATGTCCCCTGGCTCCAAAAGAACCTGAGCATAGACATTCAAGTCCTTCAAGGCCACAGTGAGCTTCCTGAACTGGATGGCACCCCGAGTGGCCCAAGTGCTGCTATTGAAGGCCTGGGCCTTCGCCAGCAGCCTCTTGGCGACCTTGGCAGCACCATCGGCCAGGTCCGAGTCGCTCTTCAGGGCACAACTGAAGCGGCCCTTGCTTTGGCACACCTGGCTTGGCCCACATCCGAGGACGTACATGGACCTGGAGCAAAAGCCGTACTATTTTTCCTGGTCTTCAACTTCAGAAGCCGCAGAGGCCGTTGCTGCTAGGGAGCTGGGCCCGGGCACCTCGGGGTTGCTGACACGCCAGGCATGCACGGCAACGAGATTCGAGAAGGCCAGCAAACAAGCCTTCAATCGCAAGGACATGCTTCAGAGGTGGATGCGTTTGCAAGCCACGGAGTAGGAGATGACACACAACGCAAAGCTCAGCTTGAGCCAGCGCCAGCATACCCCAGGCAAGGAGAGGCCCGAAAGTCAGCATCGGGAGAGTCAGCTAGGATTCCGGCAGCCTCTGCCTGCCAGACCGAGCAGAAACAAGCCCAAATTCCTTCTTCTCCATCACAGTGCTAAGGCCCTGAGTGCTCTCACCTCTGTTGGGTGTCTGAAGTGCAGCCCGGCGTCAACAAGCTTCCGCCCCCATGCATCTCATAAAGAAGTGCAGATCCCAACAGATCCCCAAAGCATGGTACCCTCAGAGCCAGGTTTAGAGTCATGAGTAGGATCCAATGCATACGGAGCTCCAAGAAAACTCTGAGACCGAGATGCCCTGCTACGGTTCCTACGCCCTTTCTCGGATACTTGGGCCCTGCCTGAAAGTCGCCTCCCACTCCTGCGGAAGACAAGTCATGTAGGCGCCTTAATACTTACAGTAGGGTTTGGGGACCCTTTATAGTAGAAACATAATAAGGAACCCTAAGGAATGATATTGACAATTATATAGCGTGAATCCTTAGACGGAGGTTCACTACGTTGGCACTGTGCGTGGGGCAGCCTCAGGGCTGCTACCATAGGGGACGGAGAGTCACAGCAACAACAGGAGGCACAATGGAGAGCCGCTCCAGTCATACTGGCATAGAAAGCCGCGGAAGTACGTTCGAGAATAGTGTTCACTTCGACAGCACGACTTAGTTCGAGAACTTGCGGGTGCAGCAACAACAGAACAACCCATCATAAGTGAAGACGTCATAGTCAGTGGCCCAAGATCCAACCTCTGAAAGCGCGGGGGCCTCTTGGTATTAAACTGCTCGGCTGTAGCTGGGGATGTAAGTTGAAGAAGTCTTGCCAGCTCTAACTGTAGAGCCCTCGCATTGGTGATATCAGTAGGAAGCGCAACCTCGAGACTTGTCTGAACTGCTGGAAAATCCAGATTTGAGGCTTACTGGCTCGGGATTCAGGGCTAACACCTACTGAGACACGAAATCTGCAAGATTTTGTGAACCGTTGTGTGTGCAGTGTGATGCAAACCCTTAAAAGCGACCGTGCCCCTGGGAATTCCTCGGTGTGTGGAGCAGCGCCATTGTGAACCTGCAGAAGCCATCTGTCAAGAGAGTGGACGCCACGTCCAAACCACCAATCACCCTCCCGAGATGTTATCGCCTTCGCCTTTCATGAGAACAGAAAAACGCGGGCACCCGCACGCACAAGTCATAAGGATAAGGGGATTGCTCCCTTCATCGGCTCTGAGATGCAGTCCTACCATGAATGAGTGAAGGTGCCACAAAGGCCGTCCGACTTCCGCCTCGTAGAGGCTTCGAAGCTTCTGAAGGTGCATGGAGGAGACTGGTAGCACATCCTGACAGTGAGCCGGAGCTTGCGCCTTGACTGCTCTGCTTCCGAGTCTATCAACGGAATGGTCTGGCCGTTAGTAGTTGCCGTAACAACGTTTTAGATGCATACTCGAGTCGGCTTTGCTCAGGGACGACCTGGTGTCGTCCACCCTGATGTTCAAGCTGGCCCTCCTCCCGCCTGGCCGAAGCTAAGCACCGGAAACTGCCGGTCGCCTTGGCCTTCAGAAGCTTGCATTCCGCTTTCTTGGTGTGAGACCAGCATCTTGCATCCCTCAAGGACAGGTCTGCAGTGCAAGTTCTCCAAATCGGTAGCCCTATGCAGACATCCACGAAGACATAAACTCCCAGAAAGCATCCGCTTTGTGCAGCGCTCTCTTCGAGGGCTACCCGTTCGTCATCGCCGAAGGCCTGCGGCTCATGCCAGCTGCGGGCAGTGTTCTACGGCAGGAAGAGGCACCGAGTCTTCGCATAGCAGCGGTGCATCGCTAGTTGGAAAAATGCTCTCCTGGCTGAGAAGACAATGATGGGATCTCATTCACAAGCAGAAGGAGAAATTGGCACGTGCCTGGAGGGAAACGAGCTCCTTTGCAATACGCTCCGCCTCCATGAATCGCAGGCATTGTAGTCAGTAGGCTGGGACTGCGTCCCTGTCTTTGTGTCTGTGTGGGCACACGTGCATCTGCGTTATACTCTTCTCAGGCTCCTTAGTGTATCGAGGCTCCACAGCTCTCATGTTTCGAGTAGTTCGGCTGCTTTACAACTGCTACGAGGAAGACAGCGTCACATGACACGATTTTCTGAAGTAGCCCCCTGAAGGCGACGCAATCCTGCCCGAGTGAGTCAACCACAGCTGCCCGGTGCTAGCTTCCTCCAGTCCCCACGGAAGGGCCAATTCAACTCAAAGCGTGGCAGTCCCTGTGAAAGGCTGCGACTAGTAGATACAATACCAACACTGCTCGCCTCGTCGGAAACCTTCTTCAGGATCTCCACAGCTTTGTCCTCGACCTGAGGGTGGAGGGGTTGCTGGACAAACCGGGTGTCCATGCAGAAAAATACCCTCGAAGCTCGGCGGACTAGGAAATATCCAACCCGGCACATGTTGACTGTACATGTCTCGCTTTTGGATTCCTTCATGCCGCTTCTTTTTGCCTCTTGATTGGAGCCAAAGGCACCTGCAACGCGAGCCTCAAAGCCTTGTCCTTGGGTTTGGACGGCGTTGGATATCCGATGATGAGCCCCAGAGTGTCCGGTGAGCTCCAGAGTTGCATCGACTGGACCCTCTGGGAGCCGAGCTGCAACACGGAACCGCACCGACAGACCGACCTCCACGGCGCTCTCCACAACAAGCCTGGCAAGTCAATCAAGTGGCTCTGATTAATTCATCAGGAATACACAGTCCTTCCCTCCTGTGTTGCTGTATGCATGCTGATATGTCGCAACGATGTTTATGCACGATCCGTCGAACTGTAGCCTTCTTCCTTGTGGGCTCTGGAAAACGTAAGCATTCCAGGCAGTCCAGAGTTCCCGTCTGCAAACAACCAACACACCTCCTCCACGTATCAATCGCCTTTGCGGCTGCATGCAACAACACAGAATAACCGGAAATGTAGGAGCTGATTACGAAACCTTGGGCCTTTATCAGGGTTCCTGATATGAATCAAAGCTGCGCGGATCTGCATTTACACGACCCAAAGAACCAAAATCCAATTGAGTGCGCGCAATGAGGCAAACGCAAAAATGAGATGTTTGACATTAGGGCGAGCAGCCAACGCATGCAAAGTGTCTATTACTCTATACTCTAAAGCGAAGAAATCGTAGAATGACGAAACAAACCCTGGTTCCGCTTTTTGAACAACCTCAGCTACTCTCGCGTCGTCATCCATACTATATATAGGTCATAGGTCTTTGCGATAGAAGCGGCGGAACTGCGTTGAGTCTAATACAAAACAAGCAGGACGGTCCCGTCCAGCTTGCGCCGGAAGATGCAGTCCTCTGCGGACCTGCTCAAGATTTTCAGGATCCAAAACGCATGTAAGCTCGACCCAGGTGTCTGCCTGTTAAGCATCTTGAACCCTGGCATGAACACGATCAAGAACACGACTGCAAATAGATCTGTCAGTCCCGCCTTCGGCCCCCTTTCCAGCTGCCCTCCTGGGATTCAACGGCGGGCGAAGATAGCTCACCGATGGTGTAGTAACAGAAACGCTTCTTTGCTGCCTCTTCGTGAACATGAACATTTTAAGCTGCGAGGCTGGGGAGGCCGGAGCGGGAGAGTGGTTGAAAAATCTCGAGGCGAGGGGCTCCTCGCATGGCCTTCGGATTTACTGCGCCTCGCCATTGCGATATAACTGTGGCATATAGTTCCTTTTCCAAAGGGAAAATCCGGAAGATTTGACAAACCGAAGCCTACAATACTACCAGGCGCTTGCCAGCACAGAAGAGTGAACACTGAAGATCTCCGGACCACCAAGCCTCACACCACGAACAAAGCCCTGGCCCTAAATCATACGTATCGTACCAGAGCACGAAAGCCTTCCGAATACAAAGTGTCAATACTCTCGGGCAGCGTGATTTCATTGTATTGCTTGCTGATTTCAGGGTAGCTGTGTCTTGGTGTGTGTGTGTGTGTTTGCACACATGCGAGCACATGCATTCTGTGAGTGTGCGTGAGCGCGCATCTGTTGACCCCCTTTTTTTTCAACCTTTCTTTGGCAAGGCCGAAAGGTGCTAAAGGCAATAGGGGTGTTGACTGGTCTTGCTCTTTGCTTTGCCTTGCTCTGGGACATGGGAGGCAGGCAGTCCCTTCGTCCCCCTCGTCAGAGCGGCCCCAGCCCGCTCGTGCTCTCTCTCTCTCTCTCTCTCTCTCTCTCTCTCTCTCTCTCTCTCTCTCTCTCTCTCTCTCTCTCTCTCTCTCTCTCTCTCTCTCTCTCTCTCTCTCTCTTCCTTCTTCATCACCCCTAGCATAACCACTCAAGTCTGAACTCGGTGTGAAGCTGTGCAGTCGGAACACCTTTGTCTTCACGGTCTTTCTTTCCCTCTCCAACTCTCTCGCTCTGTCCCTATGCAAAATCGTATAAGCATATATAGATTGAAACACGGAGACTGCAAGCAAGAGAGAGAGAGAGAGAGAGAGAGAGGGAGATAGAGCGAGAGAGAGAGCGAGCGGGAGAGAGAAAGGGACGTATACACGACAAAGCCTCGTGATGTAATCCGAGCTCCTGGCATTCTCTTTGAGCCACTCGGCCAAGGCCAGCACTTCACGCGACAGCGCGGAGTCAGAGGGCTCCTGAGGCAGCTAGGACTTCACCCTTTGACAAGCTGACTAGGTTGCAACGCCTTTCTTGTCGTGTCTTGGGCAAACTCATGTCTGCAGGCAGCATCCACCATAAGCGGCGTCGCTCGTCTGGCTTTTAAAATACACTTGGTCGGCAATCCGGGCCGCCCTTGGAACACCAATCGCCATTCAACATGCACCCACCATTGCGCAAATCTGCGATGTGGCCCCAAGCATCGTCGAATACCCAACACAAACCGACTGTTGAACATGGCACCACTGGGCCGCAAGTTATGTGTAGCGTGCATACCCCGCGGATCTCTAGCAAAGCACTCTTTTGTCCCACGGAGACAAAGCAAAGTCAGCGTCACAACCCGGGCAGCTCACGGCTTTGAACTTTGAGCCGAAGCTGCTGCTGCTAATGTAGGAACCTGACTAAGAAACCTTGGGCCTTTACTAGGACCCTAATATGAATCCTACTATTTTCAGGTTCTAGGCCCAGGGTTTCTTAATCAGGTTCCTGCATTCATTATCCTTCTGTTCCTGCTACTCCTACTCCTACTCTTGCTCCTGTGTCAGAGCGGCGCAATGCCGCTCAATCGCAGCAGCATGTTCAGCAACTATTTTGCACAGAAAGAGATTATCAGTTCCACACTTGAACCCACAAACCTGAAGCTTTTCGTGGTGTCTCTGAGCCCTATAGATCTTACAATCCCATAACTCTATAAGGCATCCAGCAGCATCCATCTGGTCCCTGTAGTTCCTGCTGCCACTGCTACGCAACTACAACTATTTCTGCTGCTGCCGGCTGCTACTACTAAACTATTTTCTACTACGACGGCCTTGAGAACGACGACGACTACAGCTGTTGGTGCTTCTCGCACGTAAGAGTACCTAATGAGCATGAACAGCCAGTTGTAGATCCTAGCTCCCACCTACGAGGGATTCCGAGAACAAGTGAACTAAAGCCGTAGGACTTATCGGCACAATTTGGGCAGAATCACAGGGAGCGCAAGCCGCCACAGAGTCGGCGCCCCAACACTCCTGCCAGAGAGTCTCGCGCGCTGGCGGTAATAACGAGATGAATCTGCACGACAATGAGAGTACTCTGCAAGAGTAGATAGTGGTAGTATGTGGTAGTATAGTGTGTCAACAGTATGAACTATTGAACGACAGCCAATATCGAGAACCAGAGTCAGATCATGCCGGCGGACATTCCACTGCAAAACTGATCTGGGCAACTAAGCCCTCAAAGGCTCCGCACAAGAAACATGCTCCAAGCTGGCCGCATCTGTACCCCCAGCTTCATGTCTTCCGAAACTTCGAGTTGAGGCTTTGGAGCGTGAGAGCGCAGAGAAAGCTCAGGAAGGTGCCAAGAACCGGCAGGAAGACACCCAGGGCAGCCAAACCGAAGCCTCGAGATGGTTTGGAAGTTGGCGTTCAACAGTTGAAGGATCGCTGCTATGGCAGGGTCCCCCATGAAAAGGATCCTACTTCTATTTAGGGTACTATACTAGGGTCCCCTATGTGATACTCATTGCTGCCACTCTGGACTTCCTTCCACTTCTGTTGGTATGCTCGCATTGCTTTCACCCCGCCCGGTGTTTGGAGCAACTGGGAAGGCCACATGGGGTCTGAAAAGATCCTTCAGGGGCAGAGAAACTCAAGCCTAACACATGTGCATTCCTATGTGTGCTTGTATGTGTGCGAAAATCTCAGAATATGTATCTAATTATACATTTTTTATTGCTATTTTAGTATTTATGGTCTCTATCCACGTTCGAGCAAACATAGAAAGCTAGTACACAGACATGAACACACAGAAGGAGGTGTAGAAGCGCCAACAGTTACGGGTGTGCACACATGTACATCTCTTTAGCCTACTATCCCCCCCAACCCCACTCCAATCGGCCAATCGAAGCCAACGCGGCAGCTGCCGGTCGAAAGCCGGCGCGGCTCGAAGATGTAGGCGCGCACCAGCCGAAAGCAAAGAAGCCTCGAGGCTCTTTCGGGTGTAGTGCTCGTCTTGTCTCTTCCTAAGGTACTCCCAAAAAGGAACTACGATGGAGCCTATGGTTACACCCCTAAACCCTAAACCTTTGATTCCGGTGCTGGTTGTCGGCCTTTGCTTTCAATCCCCCGCTGGGCGTGTAGCTATGGCTGTCATCATGAGGAATGGTCTTAGCACTATGTAGTTGTTTCCTTCTACCGTCTCAATGCTCATGCTCCCAAGTTCTCCATATAGCCAAAACCATCAAAACTAAGAACTTAGCAACTAAACACCTGTACTAAACACCTATACAAGCCTGAAACTTAACTCCTGAACCCTAAAGCCCCAACACCAAGAACTCCAAGTCGCCTCAGGAGAACGAGCGCTTGGATGGGCTCGACGGGCTTGTCACTTCCCAGGCGCTGCAGCTGGCGCTGGTGCCAGAAATAACCTTGGAGGGTTTGCAGCTTAGGATTTAGGTTTTGGTCAAACATGGCAGGCAAGACCAACACTCAAATTGCCTGATGCACGTTGCAGACTTGCGCCGGGTCTTGGCTCTTCTTATCTCTTCTTCAGAAGTTCACCCTAAAAACATGACACCAACACAACCACAAACACGGCTGTCATGATTCTTATGCAGATGCATCTGTATGGCGTGTGTGTGTGTATGTATATATATATGTATATATATGTCTGTATGTACAAAGTACGATGCGATCTTTCTGTGCCATGTTTGGACAGGCCACTGAGCCCAGGAATAAGAAGACTCTTGAAGAATGGCACGCGGAGCCTGCCACGCGCAGCTCGTGTTGTCAATGGCTTGGCCCGACGCGCTTCATGGTCTGGGACTGATTAGGATTCCGCAGGCTGCACTGGCTGCTCTGCAAAGTAGATGTCACACATTCACCCCACCCCGCCAAAACCACACAAGCGAGCTTCTTTTGCGGGTTCGGTTGGGTTAAACTCGTGAATATTCATTCAAAGCAACTTACTCAACATCCAATGGGCATGTGTCCACAAACCCTCCCCAGGCGGGACCCTACCGGACACCACAGGCCCCAAGCCCTCAGCGGCTGTAGGCTCATATGAATATGGGAAGTATACGTATGTGCATGTATACGAAACTACATGTGCAGCATACCTTGCAACAAAAGATACAATGCAGAAACAAGATCATGCCCAACTGGGTATGTTTTTGTGTTTAAACATGCCGATAAATACATATATATATATATATATATGTATGTATATCTACAAACACATAGGTTGACTTTTCGTATACACACATATAAATGCTTCTAAAGAATTGTACACGATACATTTATTTGCATGGTTGCGCCCCGGCGGCATCCCTCCACCCCTCCCCCCTCCTTCCATGGTCCGTATGCTACCACATGTAGTATATGAAGCATCAGTGCTTTGCTATACCCATTTTCCCTATGGTTCGGGTTCGGGTTGGTTCCTTGCTTCTGGTCCGGGTTGTTGCCTCCCGTGGAACGGATTCTTCACTCTCTCCTGTGCTGTGCAGTAGATCGGGGAATGGTCCATGGGGCATGTGGTTTGCTATATACTGCTTCCATATTCCGCTATGTGGAACAGGATGAGTCTCTTTCCGGCGGTGCGGTCCCCGTTCCCTCTGCCCCTAAAAGGAGTCCAGGCGCTTGTGATTTGGGGAGATAGGTTTGCGGGAGAGGGAACCACAGAGCGCGCAATCATGTATACACATACTGGATCATACAGGTCGACTATATACTGGTATGTGTAACTGGGGCTGGGACGCGTTATTGTGGTGCAAAACTACCGAGACGATCTCTTACGCATTGCTCAGTCGCATTCAGCACTACACATGACTGTGTATAAATTCGCATATACATATCTACATATATAGACACATATGTTTGTGTGTACATGCATACATGTCCATCTGCAGTATTATGCCTACACACATGCGCAATGAACATGGTACTGTTTCGGGTGCTGTGCTTCTTCTTCCCTGGTGAGCACAGACATTCCTTATAGCCTTCTGGCGAGCCGCTCAGAAGTATGCATGGGAAGCTTCCGTGTAGCTTGCACGAGTTTGGTTTGAGGCATCGCAACGAGGTTCCTGAAGCACAACGGTTTAGGGCACAAGTGCTCAGGACTCCTGAAACATAAACACTGCCCCAGACCGCCAGCAGGCCTCACACGGTAAGAAGATGCATCCACCTCCTCTCCGTGCAACCACCTCACCGCGAGCTTCTGTTTGGGAGTCCCCAGAAGTGCCTCGACTTGGGATGTCGACGTCGCAAAACCAAGGCAGACCACATGCGGACGAAGGCCAACCAGTCACGCACAAATGAAAACCCTGCATGCCGTGCCTGCATGCTCGACAACCTCTACCCAAACAACCCAGGACCCAAAGCCCCGGCGCTGCCTGTGCGGCAAGTCTGGCTGAAGGCAAAGGGGCCGACAAAGACCGACCACCTTGGCGAGGAAAATGCCAATGCTAACTTAAGGAACCTCCAAGCATGCGAGAGAAACGTGGGTGTGGAGACCACCCTGATCACCAAGCAAACGACAGACTAATTAATGGGAGGAATAGCTCTCTCGACAGGGATGCGCGCAGAACAACGAACGAGCAAACAAACAACCATGCATTCATGCATATCAGAGCATCCATACATTCGCGAGGACTGATACGAGCCAGTGACTCTCATGGTGTATGTATACATACATACACACATACATATACATATATATATATATATACACATATGGATAAAGCTATGAACTGATTTAACCATGTGTTGTTGGCTTGTCCATTTGTTGTCTATTCATTGCTTGTCGGCTTTGCTTAGCTGACGTAGGTAAACTGTGACTGTTCCGTTTATGTGTATGTTTACATATAGAACTAGTACAGAACACCTTCCGAGTGTGAATTGTGTGCATGATGCCACGCGGTACAAGAACTCATGCCAATGAGTATGACTCTACATACACACACACATACATCTACATACCAATATCTATCTCTACATCTATG